GTTTATGTTTGTCTGGGTCATAGCAGCTATAAAGATGAATTTCAAAACTTCAAAATTCCAAAATCTCGTAATTTCAAAATTTCTGAATATCTGAATTTTGAAATTTTTAGATTTTTTTTTTGGAATTCCAAAACTTTTGAAAAATCAAACAGAAAGCAAATACAATTCCAGAATGGTCCATTCTAAATATTTTTCTGTTTACTCTCTCTCTCATCCAAATGAAAAATTGCACAAAAAAACGAAGAGGGACCTCTTCATTTTTCCCATTTTTCTCCGTTCCATTCTCTTTCTCGGCACACATAAAATAAAATAAATTGCACCCCAATGGATGGATATATGTGAAATGTGTGAAAAAATAGAAAAATAGGAGGAAGAAGTTGAGGAAGTGAAAAGAGCCAAAACTTAATGGGTTCAGCCTCTTCGGAGCAATTTTTTGAAAAGAAGGGTTTTTATGATTCTAAAACAGTTTTCAAAATGTTTGAATCTCTTGGGAGAGCTGAGATACTTGTGCTCCAAAAATCGGTCAACCGCTCTCCCTTCCCCTCTCTCCTCTTGTAAGCTCCCCGTTCTTATCCGTCATCTAGCGCCATGGAAGACTGTGCTGCGGTGGCCGAGTGGTGTGCGCGCTTGTCTGTAAATCTCATTTTGCTGGTTCGAACCCTCGCTGGTCTTTAAAGCCTTTTATTACTTTTTAAAACGTTTTAATCATGATTTCATAACTTCTAGAGCTCAAAAATCTAATTTTCAGGAAAAACATCGGGAAACAAATTCTGAACGGCACCACCCTCGACATTTCCTGCGATTTTTTACGAATTTCCAGTGAAGCGGAAGGAAAAATTTATATAAACTTATAAAATGTCTTTTCACAGAAAATGGTCAAAGTTTGGGATTTTCGGGTTTTTTGCTCTAGCAATAGCAAAAGCCTCGCAATTTTTCTTTTTCAGATGTTCAGGAAATAAAGAAATACCTAAAATGGTACTTTTTTTGAATAAAATTAAGGTCTGGAAGCTATAAAATTCTGATAAAAAAGTTTCAAAAACTATAAATGTTTTTAAAAAAGCTTAAAACACGAGCGAGGGATCGAACCAGCAAAATGAGATTTACAGACAAGCGCGCACACCACTCGGCCACCGCAGCACACTCTTCCATGGCGCTAGATGACGGATAAGAACGGGGAGCTTACAAGAGGAGAGAGGGGAAGGGAGAGCGGTTGATCCGCACATGGAAAATTGAAATTTCTGCTCAAAACACCCACATATTTTGAATTTTTTTCAGAAAAAAGCGTAAAAATGTCTTGAAATATTCTAAAAAAGCACCAGAGAGGAACCTTGTCGTCTCCTAATCAACAGAGAGGGGAAACAAACAAGTTGTTCGTTTCCAAAAACAAGAAAAAAGAAGAAGAGACTCTAAAAAAAAACATCAGAAGACTGGAAAAAAAAACAGAGTGAAAATGGAACAGATGTTAGCCTTTTGGAAGGAGGAGGTAATAGACGAGGAGCATCTTTTTTCTCCTTTTTTCTCTAAATCTCTCTCCCTGTTTTAGAGATTTTGAAGAGATTTTGCTCTAGAAGAATATGGGGAATTCGCGGTCAGTTTGGGAATTTTTAGAGGGAAACAATTAGAAAAAATGCTTTCAGGTTGGTCAGAAGAGTTGTAAACGTTTTTGGAATTTGAAATAGAATTTCAGAATTTCAGAAATTTTGAATTTTTTCTGAAATTTGGGATAGTTTAAATTTTTAGATTTTAAATTCAGAAACCTTTTTGAAATTTTTGAAATGTCTGAATTTTTGAGTTTTTGAAGAATAGTGGATTTTTTTTCTAAAATATGGAGTTTTTCAAATTTTTCCGATTTTTTTATAAAAACTGTTTTTAGGAATTTTTGGAATTTCCAAATTTTGATTTTTTGGTTTTTGGGATTTTTGAGTTTTCAGAATTTTTGAAGGGATTTTGAAATTTTGGGAACTCCGGTTTTTTTTGAGTTTCTTGATTTTCTGAATTTCAGAATTTCAGAATTTTGAATTTATGAATTTCTGAATTTCAGAATTTCAGAATTTTGAATTTTTGAATTTCTGAATTTCAGAATTTCTGAATTTCTGAATTTCTGAATTTCAGAATTTCAGAATTTTGAATTTCTGAATTTCCGAATTTCAAAAGTTCAGGGTTTCAGAACTTCAGAATTTCTGAATTTCTGAATTTCTGAATTCCTGAATTTCTGAATTTCTGAATTTCTGAATTTCTGAATTTCTGAATTTCTGAATTTCTGAATTTCTGAATTTCTGAATTTTTGAATTTCTGAATTTCTGAATTTCTGAATTTCTGAATTTCTGAATTTCTTAATCTCCGAATTTCAAAAGTTCAGGATTTTAGAATTTCAGACTTTTTTGAATTTTTGAATTTTTTGGAATTTTAGGATTTCTGGATTTTTCGAATTCTCAAAATTTCAGAAATTTCAGAATTTTAATTTTGTGAATTTCAAAATATCAGATTTTCAGAAATTTGAACTTTTGAATTTCTGAATTTTCGGAATTTTTAAATTTTCGGAATTTTTAAATTTTTGAATTTCAGAATTTTTGAATTCTTGAATTTCTGAATTTCTGAATTTCTGAATTTCTGAATTTCTGAATTTCTGAATTTCTGAATTTCTGAATTTCTGAATTTCTGAATTTCTGAATTTCTGAATTTCTGAATTTCTGAATTTCTGAATTTCTGAATTTTTGAACTTCTTAGGTTTATGTTTGTCTGGGTCATAGCAGCTATAAAGATGAATTTCAAAACTTCAAAATTCCAAAATCTCGTAATTTCAAAATTTCTGAATATCTGAATTTTGAAATTTTTAGATTTTTTTTTTGGAATTCCAAAACTTTTGAAAAATCAAACAGAAAGCAAATACAATTCCAGAATGGTCCATTCTAAATATTTTTCTGTTTACTCTCTCTCTCATCCAAATGAAAAATTGCACAAAAAAACGAAGAGGGACCTCTTCATTTTTCCCATTTTTCTCCGTTCCATTCTCTTTCTCGGCACACATAAAATAAAATAAATTGCACCCCAATGGATGGATATATGTGGAATTTCCGAATTTCTCAATTTCTCAATTTCCGAATTTCAAAAGTTGGAATTTTAGGATTTCTGGATTTTTCGAATTCTCAAAATTTCAGAATTTTCAGAATTTTAAATTTGTGAATTTCAAAATATCAGATTTTCAGAATTTTGAACTTTTGAATTTCTGAATTTTCGGAATTTTTGAATTTTCGGAATTTTTTAATTTTTGAATTTCAGAATTTTTGAATTCTTGAATTTCTGAATTTCTGAATTTCTGAATTTCTGAATTTCTGAATTTCTGAATTTCGGAATTCCAACTTTTCGAAATTTCAGAATTCCGAAACTTTCAAAATTCTGAGTCATAAAATTTCAAAAATCAGAAACTCCCCCCAAAAAATATCGAAATTTTGTGGACCGTGAAATCCATCAAAAATGAGCAATCTTCTGAAAGTCTAATGAGGCAAAAATTAAAACTACAGTAATCCAAGAAAAAAAGTTTGGGTCATAAAACACAGAAAAAAAGCCTTTTTCAACTAAAAAATCGTAGAAAACGAGAAAAAAATGACAGGAGATTAGGAGCGTCTCTCATCATTTTCTCAGATAATCCCAAAATTATTTTTTTGGACAAATATAGAAAAAAAAGACTAAAAATCGGGGTTTTTTATTTACAGGATGCTTAGCAGGGGGCTGAATTTAGCAGGGGCTTAACAGCGTCCAAAACCAAAAATTTTTTGGATTATGAATGAAAAAAAAATCCAAGGGGGAGGGGTGTCCTTTTTCCATTCGACTGCCTCCCCAACATCAAATTTCCGGTCGGAAGAGTCAACTGACATTTTCAATATAGAGTGGAAGAAGACAAAATTGAATTATTCATGAATCAAAAAAGATAGAAACAGATAGGAAATGGTCTACAGTTGAATAAACACCAATGTTAATGAGAAGCAAAAAAGAAAAAAAAAGAAAAAAATCTTGTGCGTTCGGGGGGAATCGAACCCCCGTCGAATGCTTGGAAGGCATCCATGCTGACCATTACACCACGAACGCGCCGGGAGGAGAAGGGACGCAAGGCGGTAATGAAGAAGGGAGGGGCGCGGCGGCGTTGTCGCGCTGGGTAGGTGAGGACGGCGGAGGAAGAAAATTTCGGAAATTATCAATTTTTCAAAAAAATCCAAATTTCACTTCCATAACTATAACTATAGTACTTTCTGGCTTCTTTTTTCGCTGGGAAACCAGGAGAAATAATAAAAAAAAGAAAAAAAGAACCAAATATTTAACACCGAAATCTATCAATTTCATCCTTCCAACTTCAAAATAAATTTCCCAAGTTCAACAAAGACAAAACACATCAAAAATCAAGAGTTATCAGTCTATCGTCTCGAAAGTGAGCACATCCGAATGCCTGCGTCTCTCTGCTCTCTCGCTTCCTGGATTTTTCTCAGTCTTCTCTGCGTCTCTCTGATCTCTACACTCTCTCATACAGATATATTAGTGGTGCTCATGAAAAAAGACAGATAGAACCCGCGAGAGCTCTGTGTGTATAGATATGATAACTTAACCTCCTACGAGAGTGATAAGCGAGAGATAGGAAGCATACAGAGAGTGTTAGAGAAAAGGAGAAAATTAAGAAAAAAAATGAGAGCGGTAGATCAAACCACGAAAAACTGTATCAAAATCTTTATCCTGAGTTTCAATCCAATCAAACATTTTTCTCCTTTTTCTACACACTCACTCTCGCACCCCTCCTCCCTCTACCCTCCCCACTCTCTCTCGCCTTGTCGCCTTCATATCATTGCCCTCCGCTACCTTCTCCGTCGCAGCGTTCGTGGTGTAATGGTCAGCATGGATGCCTTCCAAGCATTCGACGGGGGTTCGATTCCCCCCGAACGCATAACATTTTTTTTCTTTTTTTAGTTTGTTTGAGGAGCAAAAACATATTTATTTCGGTTAAAAAGGGATTCTCATTTCTTCTCATTATGCTCCGACACTTTGTGAGGCTTGGAAATCTTCTGTTCTTTGGTGTTTCCTTCATAAGACTTGTCAGGACGAAAGATGGTAAACGAGCAGACCAAATTGGGCGCAACCGTCAAAACCGCACCAGCATTATCGAATTGTCCACAGTAAGCTGGGGCCGAGAAAATTGTGACAAGCTGTTGGCCGGCAAAAAATTCAAAGCCATCCATGACGACTTGATGGGCACGAACAATCAAATCCAGATTATGAAGATGCAAGAATTTTCGGACGGCTTCAGGTCCAAAAGATCGGCCGGCTCCACGTGGCGATCCACCGTACCCAAGAACTTTGTCATCTGGATCAGCCCAAGTGAGGTCAGCAATCACACCAATGTCGGGAATGTCGCATGGACGGTCCACTTTTTCGAGTTGACTGGAAACACACATTTTTGAAAATTTTGAAATTTTGAAATCAAGTCAAATTTTATGGGAAGTGATAGAACTTTTCAAGGGCTTCAATTTGGTAGTAAAATCACCCGAGAATATTGATTCTGAAGCGAGTTATAAGCAATTTTATCGCTGTGGCCTAACTTTTGGAAGTTCGTTTTTCTAGGCCATCATGGTAAAACGCCCAGATATGAATTGATATTCATCCGGTATGTTTTCAGGGCCACTTTCAATGGTGACCTAGAAATCTCAACTTGTGAAAGTTAGGCCATCATGTTGAAATGGCCTAGAAAACACGCGAAGCGAATATCAGACCATTTTTAGGCTATTTTTTCTACACCAGGAGCATGGAAGGTCATTTTCAGGACATTTTTCGATGGTGGCCTAGAAAACTCAATTTGCAAAAGTTAGGCCCCCATGTTGAAATGGCCTAGGAAACATACCAGGTGCATGTCAGATCATTTCCAGGCCATAAAAGTTCGTGGCCTAGAAAACTCAACTTGCAAAAAGTTAGGCCACTATGTTAAGATAGCCCAGAAATGGCCTAACAAGCCCCTAGTGGGGTTTCTATGCCATTTACCATGGTGACCTAACTTTTTCCTAGTTGAGTTTTCTAGGTCATAACCGGAAAATGGCCTGGAAAACATATCAGATCTTTCTAAGCCGTTTTACCATGGTGGCCTAGAAAACCTTCTTTCTAAGCCGTTTTACCATGGTGGCCTAGAAAACCCAACTTGCACCATGTAAAAATGGCCTAGAAAACACAACAGATAGATATCAGGGCATTTCTAGGCCATAAACTTTGGTGGCCTAGAAAAACTCAAAATGCGAAAGTTAATCCACCATTTTGAATATGGCCTGGAAAACACAACAAGAGAATATTAGGCCACCATGCTGAAATGCATAGAAAAGCCTCATATTCACTTGGTGTGTTTTCCAAATATTGGTGGCCTAGAAAATGCAAAAGTTAGGCCACCATATCAAAAAGCTTACTTCAAATCGATCAAATCCTCGGAAATTCCTCCATGCATACAAATGATTTTTTTACTGATAACAGCACACAGTGGCATACAGTAGAATGCCAACTGGAATGCATCGTAAAGTCGTTCGGAATAACGTTTTCGACATTCTAAAAAGAATCCGTATTGCATGTTGACTGGACGAGATTCATGATTTCCACGTAGGAGGAAAACTTTATCCGGATGGAGGACTTGATAAGCAAAGAGAAGAGTGATCACTTCGATTGAGAATGGCCCACGATCCACGTAATCGCCGAGGAACAGGTATCTGGAAGATTGAAATAGGAATTACAATGGATTCTGGAAGAGCAACTCCACAAATTACCACAGTGGCCTAACTTTCCCAACATGAAATTTCTAGGCCACTAACTTTTAAGACCTATAATTGACCTAGTATCCATCTGGTGTGGGGTTTCTAGGCCATTTCTTTTAGTGGCCTAACTTTTCCAAGTTTGGTTTTCTAGGTCACCATGGTAAATAGCCTAGAAATGGTCTAATACTCGCTTCGCGTGTTTTCCAGGGCATTTCAACATGATGGCCTAAATTTTGCAAATCGGCTTTTCTAGGCCACCATGGTAGAAATAGTCCGATATTCAACTGGCGTGCTTTCTAAGCCGTTTTAGCATGGTGGCCTAACTTTTGCAAGTTGTGTTTTTTAGGCCACTATGGCGAATAACCTAGGAAACACACCAAGGTCATGATAGAACATTTCTAGGCCATAAACACTGGTGGCCTAGAAAATTCATGATGAGAGAGAATTCTTGAAATTTTGAATTTTCGAATTTTAGATTTTCAGAATTTCAGAATTTCATAAATTCAAAAATTCAGAAATTCATAAATCCAGAAATTCATAAATTCAGAAATTCAGAAATTCAGAAATTCAGAAATTCAGAAGTTCAGAAATTCAAAAATTACAAAAAATTCAAAATTCAGAAAGTCAGAAATTCAAAAATTCAGAAATTCAGAAATTCAGAAATTCAGAAATTCAGAAATTCAGAAATTCAGAAGTTCAGAAATTCAAAAATTACAAAAAATTCAAAATTCAGAAAGTCAGAAATTCAGAAATTCAGAAATTCAGAAATTCAGAAATTCAAAAATTACAAAAAAATCAAAATTCAGAAAGTCAGAAATTCAGAAATTCAGAAATTCAGAAATTCAGAAATTCAGAAATTCAGAAATTCAGAAATTCAGAAATTCAGAAATTCAGAAATTCAGAAATTCAGAAATTCAGAAGTTCAGAAAGTCAGAAATTCAGATATTCAGAAATTCAGAAATTCAGAAATCCAGAAATTCAGAAATTCAGAAATTCAGAAATTCAAAAATTCAGAAATTCATAAATCCAGAAATTCAGAAATTCAGAAGTTCAGAAATTCAAAAATTACAAAAAATTCAAAATTCAAAATTCATAAATCCAGAAAATCAGAAATTCAGAAGTTCAGAAATTCAAAAATTACAAAAAATTCAAAATTCAAAATTCAGAAAGTCAGAAATTCAGAAATTCAGAAATTCAGAAATTCAAAAATTCAGAAATTCAGAAATTCAGAAGTTCATAAATTCAGAAATTCAGAAATTCAAAAATTCAGAAATTCATAAATCCAGAAATTCAGATATTCAGAAATTCAGAAATTCAGAAATTCAGAAATTCAGAAATTCAGAAATTCAGAAGTTCAGAAATTCAAAAATTTCAAAAATTTCAAAATTCAGAAATTCAGAAATTCAGATATTCAGAAATTCAGAAATTCAGAAATTCAGGAATTCAGAAATTAGAAAATTCAGAAATTCAGAAATTCATAAATTCATAAATTCAGAAATTCAGAAATTCAAAAATTCAGAAATTCATAAATCCAGAAATTCATAAATTCATAAATTCAGAAATTCAAAAATTCAGAAATTCATAAATCCAGAAATTCATAAATTCAGAAATTCAGAAATTCAGAAATCCAGAAATTCAGAAATTCAGAAATTCAGAAGTTCAGAAATTCAAAAATTACAAAAAATTCAAAATTCAGAAAGTCAGAAATTCAGATTTTCAGAAATTCAGAAATTCAGAAATTCAGAAATTCAGAAATTCAGAAGTTCAGAAATTCAAAAATTACAAAAAATTCAAAATTCAGAAAGTCAGAAATTCAGAAATTCAGAAATTCAGAAGTTCAGAAATTCAAAAATTACAAAAAATTCAAAATTCAAAAATTCAGAAATTTAGAAATTCAGAAATTCAAAAATTCAGAAATTCAGAAATTCAGAAGTTCAGAAATTCAAAAATTACAAAAAATTCAAAATTCAGAAAGTCAGAAATCCAGAAATTCATAAATTCAGAAATTCAGAAAGTCAGAAATTCAGAAATTCAGAAATTCAGAAATTCAGAAAATCAGAAATTCAAAAATTCAGAAATTCAGAAATTCAGAAATTCAGAAAATCAGAAATTCAAAAATTCAGAAATTCATAAATCCAGAAATTCATAAATTCATAAATTCAGAAATTCAGAAAGTCAGAAATTCAGAAATTCAGATATTCAGAAATTCAGAAATTCAGAAATTCAGAAATTCAGAAATTCAGAAAATCAGAAAGTCAGAAATTCAGAAATTCAGATATTCAGAAATTCAGAAATTCAGAAAATCAGAAATTCAAAAATTCAGAAATTCATAAATCCAGAAATTCATAAATTCATAAATTCAGAAATTCAGAAAGTCAGAAATTCAGAAATTCAGATATTCAGAAATTCAGAAATTCAGAAAGTCAGAAATTCATAAATTCAGAAATTCAGAAATTCAGAAAGTCAGAAATTCAGAAATTCAGATATTCAGAAATTCAGAAATTCAGAAAATCAGAAATTCAAAAATTCAGAAATTCATAAATCCAGAAATTCATAAATTCATAAATTCAGAAATTCAGAAAGTCAGAAATTCAGAAATTCAGATATTCAGAAATTCAGAAATTCAGAAATTCAGAAAATCAGAAATTCAAAAATTCAGAAATTCATAAATCCAGAAATTCAGAAATTCAGATATTCAGAAATTCAGAAATTCAGAAATTCAGAAATTCAGAAAATCAGAAATTCAGAAATTCATAAATCCAGAAATTCAGAAATTCAGATATTCAGAAATTCAGAAATTCAGAAAGTCAGAAATTCATAAATTCAGAAATTCAGAAATTCAGAAAGTCAGAAATTCAGAAATTCAGATATTCAGAAATTCAGAAATTCAAAAATTACAAAAAATTCAAAATTCAGAAAGTCAGAAATTCAGAAATTCAGAAATTCAGAAAATCAGAAATTCAGAAATTCATAAATCCAGAAATTCATAAATTCAGAAATTCAGAAAGTCAGAAATTCAGAAATTCATAAATTCATAAATTCAGAAATTCAGAAATTCAAAAATTCAGAAATTCATAAATCCAGAAATTCAGAATTCCA